TCTGCTGTGATTCTGATGGGTTTTCCTTTGTATGTGATTTGTTTCTTTTCTCTAACTGCTTGTAGAAATTTATTCTTCTGTTGGGCTTCTGGAATCTTAACAATTATATACCTATGTATAGATTTTTTTTTTATCAAGGCTATTTGGAGTCCTATATACCTCACTTATCTGTATGTCAAGTTCTTTTCCCCTGTTTCAGAATTTTTCTGCCATTACTTCTGTGAAAAGTTTTTTTGTCAACTGCACTCTCTCCTGTTTCTTCTTTGACTCCAGTCAGTTTTATGTTATTCATCTTTGCATCATCTAGCAGTTGCTGGATTGATTTCTTGTGGACTCTTACAATTTTGAAGCAGTTTTTCTTTTCCTGGTCACTACTTGCAATATTATCTTCTATATCTGAAATTCTATGCTCACAGTGGCTCATTCTGCTGGTGAGACTTTCAGTGGAGTTTTTAATCTCCTGGAAATCTGTTTCCATCTGTTTTATGGATTTCATTTGTTTCCTATGTTGAGATTCCATCATGTTCCTCAGATCTTCTCTAGATTTGTTAATCATGTCTTGCAATAGGAGCACAGTTTCTCCCGTTATCTGAGAAATTATTTCTGATTTCATTTTCTTCCAGGTCCTCTTTTGTTGCCAGTTCAGGCAGTCCAGATGGTTATCAGAGCATTCCATCTCATTTCCCCTTTGGGTTGCTGTAGGTGATCTGAAAGTTTGGTTTTGAGACTTGTTTATGTGTCTTCTCATTTTGATGGGGGCAGGGTGTGGTGGGGGTGGTGGTGGTGGCAGCACCCACAGGGTTCACTTTCTCTGCACTGGGAATGGTAGAACAGCGGCCTGGAAGCATCTTCCTCTGGGCTTGGAATGGTGGAATGGCAGTCCAGAAGCCCCTTTTTCTAGGCTGGGAGCGGTGGAACAGCAGTCTGGAAGGCCCTACCTCTGGGCTGGGAGCAGTGGATTGTCTGTTCAGAAACCCCTACCTCTGGCATTGCTGCTTCCTTTACTTGGAAAGATAATGATTGTCTTGTGCTTTGTATAAAAATAAAAAATATGAAAAAGAAAAAATTGACAGATGTACATGGTAATTTCTGCTCTGACAAGAGAAAGTTGAAGAATGTGAATGGACTATAAACTTCTAATTATTGAATGGAATATCCTACTTTGGTCTAAGACATAGGGATTAAGACTTTCTAGTAAGCACAAAGATCCCTTTTTATAACTATTGTTCCCTGAAGTTTCAGAACCTGGTGTGCACTTTCCACCAGCTGCATATAGTACTGCTTTCACAGACTTGCTGTGTGCTAGCATAAGCATAGTTTTGTTTTGTTTTTTATCACAGTTAAATTTACTATTCTATCTCTGAGTAGAGGAGATGGGGCTTTAATATTATGAGTCAATAAATACTAGATATAGCAATAGTTTCACTAAAATAAAACAGCTAAGCAACTCAAAACCCCTCAAAAATATTAGGGATAAACCAATATATATGGCACTTAAAATTACAATCCATGTTGCTATGGATACTAAACCAAAGATGGCATGTACATCTCAGCCATGGTGGTTTTGTCCACAACCACGTGCAGGCTTGTCAGAAAAGAAATACTGAGAACTGTGTTTATGTTCACCCAAGGTTTAGGGGTGATAGAGGGCCCAGAATGAAATGCTCCTAAAAATTTCCCATCCCTCTATGCCACCCTGCTCTTAATTGACTCACTTCTTCTAGTGGACATGTTTGTGTGTAAGCACAATCCTGATGGAAGGAGCTCTTGCTCCTAGAGGGAAATGCAGCATAAATTTCTCCCTTGAGCAACAAACCTAACAAGAAAAAACAGAGAATGGGCAGACATTAAATCCAGCAGGTCCTCTCTGATGAGCTAGTCATCTAGCTGAGGATTTAAGGAGAAACGAAGGCTGGGAAACAGGGGGTTACAATTGCCCTAGGCTCTTACCGCTGCCTCCACTTAATGCTTGTAACTCTGCACTTTCAGCTGAAGTTTATTGATCATAGTCTGCATCCTGCTCAGATTCTTTTTGTCTTCCTCTGCCTAAAATGCACAAGTATATGTGATGAGGTGATTTGAAAGATCCAGCAGTCTACATTGGTCATGGACTAAAGTGAGGAAATAAGGGTTGAAAATTTTTATTAAACCACATCTGAGAATTATAAAATGGTTGAACTCTATTCATCCAAAATTTTGAGAAATTAATAAACACAGCTCTGAGAATGACAAAGCCAATTTCTCTTGATGCACCACAGAACCCCATTGACTTTTACTGGACCAGAGGTTAAATATAGTCCTCAGCCTTCCATCTCAGTGAACACCTGCCTGAGGTGTTGACCTAGGAATGGATCATATTACTATAAGTCATATATGCAAAACAGAAGACCACCCCTCAAACAAATCAACCCATCTCTTGAACTTTTGATTTGATTCATTGTCTTAGGATAATGGAATTATAGAGAAGGTGACTTTTCTGAGATTGTTTTATGTGCATCAGTGAAGGAACATTAGACAATCTGTGGGGATCTTGGTCTTCCCATTCTCACTGCCTGAATCAGTTACAGTCATCTTTGACTAGAGAAAGGAGATCTGGTGAGGCAGTGCTCCCTACTATGCTCCATGGAGCCTTTGCTATTCAGGGGAGCCACAAGCAGGTAGATGGGACTCCTGTTGCACCTTTTCGCCTATGACCCTTTAACTGCAACTGCAATATTTCTATTCCAGAGCTGTTGAACTTCCAAAAGGAAGAAAATATTTGAGCCCAACAAAGACTGAAAAACAGATTTAATTAAGACATATCTTTGGTGCTGGTTTTTTTATTGGCTCCATTTACCTCTTCTCTTGAGTATAAACTCCTTTGATGACAGGTATAGTTTGGATGCTAACTGTCCCTCAAAGACGTTAAAGGCAAGTATTAAAGGCTCAATCCCTAGAGAGGCACTATGAAAAGGTGCTAGGTTCTTTAAGAGGTGGGACCTAATGAATAAAGTGAAAGCCACACTAAGGCTAATTTATTATTAAAGAAGAGAAGATCTTTTTATACATTTATATACAGTGTTTATAAAGTCTACAATAGTGCACACTAATGACCTAGACCTTTACCTTCATTCAATGACTCAACCAGACTAGCCCCAGCCCCACAAGCTCCAGTCATGGGGAGTGCCCTATCCAAGTGTAACCCTTTTTAATCTTTCATACCATCTTTTATAGTTACCCTTTCTATGTCTAGATATATTTACATATGTAAGTATTACAAATGTCTATAGTGTTCAGTGTAATAATATGATATACAGGGTTTTAGCCTAGGAACAACAGGATCTACCTCATAGCCTTGGTCTGTAGTAGGTTACATCATTGAGATTTGTGTAATTACACTGTATGGTATTCACACCACTATTAAAGTGCGTAACAATGGATTTCTCAAAGTGGATACCTGTCCTAAAGCTGTGTGCATGTGTGCACATGTGTGTGCATACCAGCTATGCACCAAGACTATGCTAGCACTAGAGTGGACAATAAATCACACTTGCTATCACAGAGCTGAAAGGTCACCCAGCAGATTAAAAACTCCACTGAAAGTCTAC